GGGCAGGCCACCACTGCCGGTACTTTGCCGGAGGGGCCTGGGTGGCCGCCCGCGCCTGCCCGCGCCTCGCCCTTTCCTGCGGGCGCACCCAAGTCACGTGCAGACGCCCTCAGCCAGCCGGCGTCCGGGGCTCCTGGGACAATGCCCAGGCTCGAGGCAGTTGAACGAGACACAAGTAACGAAGGAATGGTGTCCACACTCCAGAGAGCCGCCTGGGGCAGGGTGGCTCAAAGCCCTGGGAGTTACATTCTGGGAGGTTTGTCATGTTTAAATCTACTGCTGGCTGGTCATTGGCTGGGGCTCTCAATTGTGGCTGGCCCACTGATGCATCTCATTGGATCTACTAGGTGTGGCCACGCCCACTGGTTTTTCTTTTTTTGGCGGGGGGGGGGAGAGGTTTTTGCTATAGGGCGCGTTCGCTCGCCAGAAAGACAGAGAAGTCACCCCACAGGTGGAATGGCCGCCGCAATCCCTTCTCCATTCTCTCGGGATTTGGGGCACGCATGCACACGCGTCCAGCCTGAGTTTAAGCCACCGGTCCGGGAGTCGGCTACATGGGAGTTCAGCAACATAGCCATTACAGTAACTGCTGGTCCCTGCCCACTGACTTTTCTTATTGGCTCCCTCCAGAGCACCGGGCCCACTGGTTTATCTCATTGGCTCTATCCAATGTGGCCACGCCCACTGGTTTTTCTCATTGGCTGTATCCAATGTGACCAGCTTGACGTCCCCTACTCATCTGCCTACATTTCCTTGGGTGGGGGTTTTTCCGCCCTGATCGACTTTTTAAAAATCTAGCCTCAGAGGCAGATGCCCCTGCGCCCTTACCTGCTTCCATTTGCTAGCTTCCTCCTGCCCCGCTAGGAGGACATTCCCGTTCCTTTTGTCCCACCCCCTCCAGCCGGGCAGTGTGTGGCCGCTCCTGGACACTGGAGGGTTTGGAGGCAGCCCAGTAGGAGGTAAGGGGTTCGGAGCTGCGAGTTCACAACCCCAGGTTCCGCAGCTGCAGGCTTCAGGACTGGTTCACAGTCTCGCTGCAGGGAAGTGACACTACCCCAGTGTCACTGTGTCTTGAGGGTTATAGGATGAGGTCCCCTCAGGCAGGACGGGTCCCCACGGTGACAGTCTGAAACACACACCTGACCCCTTCTTTCCCAAGCCCATGGATGTCAAGGCCCTTGTGGAATCTGAACCCTGCCTGCCCCTTTGGTCATGCCACCTCCCTCGTCTCCCTGTGTCACTGCCAGGGAGGGCTCCCTGACTTCCCAGCCAGAGCCATTGCTTCCAAGCTGCTCGTCCCTGTCTGTTCAGTGGGTAACAGCCTGGCTCCTTGTGCTGGTCATCGCATTCTCAGGAAGGTACAGAGGCTCTAACCTAGTTTCCTGCCCCCAAACTGCCTAGAGTTAGGTGGGGTGGGGTAGGGTGGGGACAAGCAGCAATCTCAGCCTCAGGGAGGGGAGAGCTGTGCTCTGGATGAAAGGACAGTACAGAAAAGGGGTTGTGTGCTGGGCAAGAGTGCCGCCTTTTGGCATTCCCCCAGGGATCCGCCATTCAGTCACTGTCTCCTCTCTTGCCAGCAAGAACCCTGGTTTCAATTCTGTGCAGTTTCTGGCAGCAAAACCCGTCTGGGTAGTCTGAGCTTTTCCTAGCTCCATGTCAGGAGTTTTAGAAAGCATGTGCCCCGACTCTGGGCACTGAGGCACATCCGGTGGGTCTAGGGGCTGCCAGGGACGTGAGAGCGGGTGTCTCCTGCCACCTGCAGATGTCAGAGCAGGGATGCAGTACTCAGACTGCTGCAACTTACAGCCATGTGGGACAAGCTTCAGACAGAACCCAGAGCAGGAAGAACCTGGTCCCTGGGGTTGTCACTGAGCTAGCCAGGCATGCGGGCGGCCCCACCTCAACCCTTGTGGACTTGGGACACTATAGAGGCAGTTTTACTGGGGGAGTAATTTTGAGTTGGAGCGTTTGCTGTAGCTAGACAGACTTGCACACACTGCCTTAATTATCCACTGCATGACAAATTACCCGAAAACATAGTGACTTAAACAACCAGTGGGGCCAGGTGGTGACATGGTTAAGGCAGCTGGCTCCCCTATGGCCAACTGTGTAGTTCCAATCCTAGACCCAGTGGCCTGAAAAACGGGCTGAGTGTGTATTTGTGTGTGTCTAAAATCCTGAGAGGAGAGTGAATTACAGTGTGGCCATCCTGCCTGGGCATGCTTTTCCCTCCCCCAGCCCCCCTGCCTCTGGTGAGCACACGTGTCCTGTAGCAAATGAAAAACAAGCAGTGTTACCTCACAGCCAGGACCCTGGGAACAGTTCGTGTAGGTGTTCTGGCTTAGGGTCCTGGGATACTGCAGTCAAAACGTCAAGGCCAGGCCGACGTCCTCCCTAGGCCTGGCTGGAGCCGGAGGACCCACTTCCATTTCCGTGTGAAGCCTCACCTCCTCTCTGCGTGTGCCTCCAGGAGGCTGCCTGAGTGTCCTCACAACATGGCAGCTGGGTCTCAGCATGGCTGCCCCTCGGCATGCTCCCTCGCCCCTCCCTGCCATCTGTTGTGTGGGAGCCTGTCACCGAGTCCAGGAACACTCGGGGGAAGAGCACGCAGGCTCCACCTTCAGGCGTTCGGAGACTGTCAGGAGCTCGGGGGGAGTGCACAGCACAGGTGGCGATCAGCAAGCAGTCTGGGAGCCTGTGAAGGTGGCGAGCAGCCGTGTCTGTGCCCCCGTGCCAGCCCCCGGGCTCTGCCGGGGCCCAGGCCCTAAGAGCATGGGGGTGCTCTTACATTTTAGAAGCCCGCTCTGTGGCGGGTCATGGAGGCTGGGCCTGAGCACGTGAACCCAGAGGCTCCTGCTGGGGCTCACAGAGAAGATATGTTTCCTAGAAGGTGCTTGGCCACTAGGTGCTCTGTTCAAAAGGGAGGCGCTAAGCGTTCTGGGGACGGTGGCGCCGTGGGCATAGCCCAGCAGGACCTGTGAGAGGAAGTGTGGACGCCCCATCAGTTTAAGGAACCCACGGGACAAGGTGTAGCACTCACCTCGTGTGTAGGGCCCCGGCTCGGCATGAGCACGCTTGGAAGCGCAGGGCGGCGAAGGCCACGGAGCAGTCCAGCCCTCTGCGCAGCTGGTACTCTTGCGGGCTGGAGAGCAGGCCTGCTGTCCTCCCTGCTTTTCACGGGGGTCTGTGCACACTCCGGCTCCACAACAGGGCCCCTCACCTTAGCACGCCCCAGGCCCTCTGGACTGGCTGCCGACCACACCCTGCAGCTAGCTGCCCCTCTCCACGTGAGGTGCGGGAAGCCCAGGGCCCATCCCAGTGGCTCCAGGAGGTGTTTTGTTTTTGCTTTTTAAGGTTTTTGCCTTTTAAGGTTTTTGCCATAGAGTATGTGCCTTGCCAGAGAGGAGAGAGACAGAGAAAGGGAAAGTGAGAAATCACCCCTTGGGGGAATGGCCCCGCCACAGTTGCTTCTCCATTCTCAGGATTTGGGGCACACGTGCACACACGCCCAGTGGGATTTACAAGCCTCTGGGTTTGGACTTGAACCGCAGTTGGCCATGTGGGAATTCAGCCCCCTTAACCACCGTGCTACCTGGTGGCCCCTTCAGGGCATGTTTAAGGAAGCAGCCTGGGCCCCAGCGTCCGCAGTACTTAGTCCTTGGAACACAGGTCACCTGGCCCTCCAAACAAGTGTCCTGACTGCTCTCAGCCCATTTCCTCATTTGCAAACCCACGGAAGTGCCTCGTATCTGAGAAGTCAGAAGTGCTGCGAAGCTATGGCCATCCTGGACCACAGGGTGTGGTCAGTGGAGGTCGTGGCTCTGGGCCATGGGGGCAGTCGGTGGAGGTCGTGGCCCTGGGTTGAGGGGGATGGCAGTGAAGGCCACCACATGAATTGCTCATGTGTGAAATTGTCTCAGGTGGGCTGCGATGGGAGTGGGGTCCTGGAAGTCTGGGTTTCTCCCATTTCCCAGCTTAAGGGTTCCAGCCAAGGCAATCTTCCCAGGCAGAGCCTGGACGTGGACCATCCTGGTCTTTCCTGCGACCTGTGGTCAGTTCTCCAAGAGTGAAGAGGGTTCTAACTGGGGCAGCTCCGCAGGGTTCGGAGGGCTCAGCCTCGTCTGAAACACAGGGCACTTTCGTGACCTTCACACATCGCACCAGCAGGGGCTCGGTCCATTTTACAAATTAAGGAGCTGCACTTTGAAGGGCAGAGGCTGACAGTGCAGGGCCACAGCTGAAGGTAGGTCACAGCAGCTCCTGGAGGTGGGACAGCAGCCATTCCAGCCCGGAGGGCCTCGCTTGCTTTGCTCACTGTCACGGAAGGAATGGGTTATTTTTTGGTGGTGGTTTAGATTAAGCCTGCTCCCCACCACCGGTTAAAAAGTTAGATGCCCGTACGGGAATGTTTGCCCCTAGCTGCTGGCCCCAAACGGTCGTGCGGTTTTGGATTTTGCCATGGACGTTATGCAGATGGTTCCCACGGCTGCCTTCGGTCTGAAGTGAGCGTGTTCCAGATGGGGCTGTCTTCTGCACCGTGGGCGTGGCACTCACTCCATACTGCAGAGCCTTCCTTGGCTTATTCATTTCGGACAAGGTGAGGCTTACCTGGGCCGGGAGGTGGGTGGATGGCAGTGACCTTAAGCACTCCGCCTGTGCCTATCCCAAGCCCCTCTCAGATCGCATGCTGGGCCCAGCTGCATGCAGACACCCTCACCAAGGTCCCCGTGTAGCTGGCGTGTCCCTGCTAGGCCTCACACTGAGCTACCTTCCACCGCGAAGCCCCACAGTTAGCTCTCACTTCCCTGCACTTGGACTCCTTTTCCCCAAGTGTTTGGCCAGCCGATTTGTTCAGAGAGAAGGGGGCGAAGGAGAGAAGCAGCCTTAACTGACACAAGGTCCCTCACAGTAAAAGAGCAGTCTCTGTAGAACAGTGGTGGACGCACAGGGGAGGTGGGATCCCGCAGGTGGCTCAGCCTGGCTGAGGGGGAAGGTCTGGCTGGGAGACAAAGGAGGTGTGGGGAAAGGAGGGAAGGGGACACTGAGGAGATGAGGCAAGAGTCTCAGCGGGCTGAGGGGCCAACAAAAACCCCAGAATACGGAAAGAAGGACGCGTGATGAGAATGGCGCTGCCTCACACCGTTTTTGTAACTTTGTCTATGTCTTCATGACCCCAAAGTCGTAAGTAAATTCTACTTTCCCTTTCTGTGTTCTCTTTTTACAATTGCTCTGCTGTCTGCCATCGTTTGGGTGTCCCAGCCTGTGAGTCCTTTCTTCGATGTAACCATTCTACAGGATTTTCATCTTTGGGTAATCGCCTGTAAAATCTCCCCAAGGCCTCTGGCCAGCTCTTTTTCATAGCTGTTCTTTTACTGGTGCCTATTTTTATGTTATGGTTTATTTCAAAATCACCCCTTTAAATCTGAGATTTTAATTGTGTGTTCTACAGTTCCCTTCTGAGTTCTGTCTTAGTTATTTTTCTTTTCTTTTTTTTTGGAGAGGTTTTTGCTATAGGGCGCATGCACTCACCCGACAGACAGAGAGAGACAGAGAGATAGAAAGTGAGAAATCACCCCCCCCTCCCAGGGGGGATGGTCACGCCGCAATCCCTTCTCCTCCATTCTCCTCTCGGGATCTTGGGCACGCACGTACACGCGCCTGGCGTGAGTTTAAGCCGCCGGGTCTGGGACTTGAACCGCGGTCAACTACGTGGGAGTCCAGCAACATAGCCATTACGCTAACTGCCGTTCTATTTTCTTCAGGTGTAACACTGCCTTGTTCATTTCACGTGCAAAGTGAGGCTGCACTCCCATGGCTGCGTGGGCCGACGTGGCCACAGACCCATGGTCTTCTAGCACGCCCACTGCCAGTATAGGCCCTGTTTGGCCCGTTCACCGCTGGCACAGTGCCTGGAGCCATTCGAGAGGTCCCCATGAGCAAGGGCCCTTGGGCAGCTGCACGGAAGAGGAGCCCTCAACCCAGCAGGCCTGAGGCGGGCGTGCTGTGGGTGTGAGTGGGAGAAAGCTCCGTGCTTCGCCCCGCCCATGCTGGAGCCTGACACAGCGCGTCTAGTTGGGAGGTCAGCTGCCCGGAGAGGAGCTGTCCCGGCAGGACAGGGGCTGTGCGGTGGCCCACTGCAGCCTGGAATGGCAGGGGCCGCGTGCGGGGGGGGGGGGAC